TGCAGCATCTTCTCCTGTGCAAGCAAGAGGTCTAACTGTTCCATTTTTCCCAACTCAGGTGGCTGTATCCTGGTGCTGAGTAGGAACTTTGTGCAATATGCCTGCTTTGGACTGTTTGGAATTATAGCATTACAGGTGGGAGGCTTAAGTCTTCAGCCCTTCTAAACAGTATCTTTCAAATCTTAGCCACAGTACTACCAACATACTTCAGTACAGTTCTCCACCCTGGCCTAGTGCCAGTCCTCAGTGACATTCATCTGTTTTGCTGCCTATGTTCTTCTGATGTGCCCAATAGATCCCTGGCTGTAATTGCAATTAGTCAGCTGGAGATGCTGATTCAACACTTGACCTTGACCAATTTAGCAGAAGTAACTTGCACTTCACCTGTATGTCAGTAATGTGCCGATTGTGGAACTTGCGGTTGCTTTGGCCTTTGACATGCAGCTTTTAAAGGACTGCCTCCATCACAAGGATCCTAGCTAGTAGCATCCTTCCTGTTCAAAACCCATGAATTCTTGTGGGTACTAAAGCACGAGTCAAATTCTGGCTGCTGTTCCCTGTTTTACACTGACTCACTCGACCACATCAGCATGATCTACCCCATTTCCCTCTGTATAACATACTTGTAAGTGACCTCTGCTGTGGACAGTCCATGCATGAGATTATACTGTAAATTCAGAACTTGATATGGTGTTTAACCTCTGTTTTTCTTGGCCTAGACTATCGCATACAGCATTCTATGGGACCTGAAGTTCTTGATGAGGTATGTGTCCTGAAAGTTTTTACCAAAACAGAATGAAAGCTCCTGTCTGTCACTGCCACTTGGTGACAGAGGAAATGATCTTCCTACCTAGTATTTACTAGAAGGATTTTACAAATGATGCCTTTACCTTAAACACAAAATGACACAGACAGCGGGCTCAATGTTGTAGAAGGGAAAGACTAATCCTAACTCACTTAGATCCAAGGGCTTCTGCTATTGACCTTGCTGAGAGCTCACAAACTGTCTAGACTGGATCAGTGAGCTGCTGCTATTTCCTAAATGGCTCAAATAGCAACTGTGCTTATGCCTGACTGAAGCAATTCTCTGAGGAAACTAAAGCACATAAATATTAGTGGTTTCTGGGCTTTTAAAATCATTCGTGCCTTCTCTTAAGTAGATGACAGGGCTCTTAAACATGAGCTTTCTTGTTGTGGTTTAGCCCCACTAAACACTTGTCAAATCCTGAGTGATGGCTGGCTGTTACCTTTTCACCCCTCTCCTCTCGAGGGCAGGGGTCAGCACTGGAACTACTCTCTGGGCTTACTACAGCCCTGTCAATGTGTAACTACTTTTAGCGGTACTGCTCTGTTTTCTCAAAGCAACCTCTGAACTGCTCTGGCATATATGGCTAAACCTGAGGTACAGAGTAACTTCAACCAAACTCGTGCTGTAACAGATGCTAAGCACCTGTGCCTGGTCTGTGGGTGCTGGGCTTCCCTGGCAGGCTGTACCTGTCTGCACAGGCTTGTGTGAACTGCTGTGGTGGCCAGCACTGCTGCTTCAGCTGTGGAGATGCATGGCAGGGTGCAGAGTAGGTCACTCTTCGCTAGCATGCAGATTCTTAGAGCTGAAAGTGTCAGATAAGACTTCACAGTTTGCACTGATGTGTAGTTTTAATCAACTGGGCTTTTTCTCCCCCCCTACATTTCTCTGTTTCTGTAGGAACCTTGCCCTTGGGGGAGGCTTACTGCTGCTTTTGGCTGAGTCGCGCTCGGAGGGGAAGAGCATGTTTGCTGGCGTCCCCACCATGCGGGAAAGCTCTCCTAAGCAGTACATGCAGCTGGGGGGTCGTGTGCTGCTGGTCCTCATGTTCATGACCTTGCTACATTTTGATATGAACTTCTTTTCTGTAAGTACCTGGGGAATAAAGTAAGCGTTACGGAACTAGAACATAGTACCAACTCCCAGACTGACTGCAGGACCGCTTGATCACTTAACTTTCGTTTTAGTAGCATTAATATTTATAAAAGTTATTAAATCATCTGTGCTGTGACAAGCTGTTCTGCTGAACTTTTCCCCATGCCCTGTCCTGATCTTCGTGTATCTACAAGAATCGTATCTAAGCCTGTGGGTTTCTGTTTTCCGTGCAGATTCTGCAGAACATTGTGGGCACAGCCCTGATTATCCTGGTGGCAATTGGCTTCAAGACTAAGCTGGCCGCCTTGACTCTAGTCATCTGGCTCTTTGGCATCAACATCTACTTCAATGCCTTCTGGACCGTCCCAGCCTACAAGCCCATGCACGACTTCCTCAAATACGACTTCTTCCAGACCATGTCTGTAATTGGGGGGCTGCTCCTCGTGGTTGCACTGGGTCCTGGCGGCGTCTCCATGGACGAGAAGAAAAAAGAGTGGTAACAGGAATAGCAACACTTTCTTGGGACATAACATATCAAGTCCAGAACTGATTCTCTATGGATTCAACAAAAACTGCCAGCATTTTACACGTACATGCCCCCTTCCTATTGCAAAGGCACAGATGTTCTGAATTTGATTTACAGTGGCACCAGTAACATAATAGATAAAATCCTGTTTCCTCAAGGAATGTTGCCTAGGCTTATTCTAACTTCCTAGATTTGGAACTAACCCAAGGAACCTGCATTTTGCTGACGCTTCAGTGAGTTGCAGTAGAACAGCTGCTGTCCTCCATGGCAGCGATGTTTTAAAATTTGGAGTACTGTGAGCAGATACAGCTGTATCGTTCAGTGTGCTGTCAGGCTCTAGCTATAACTATAAAAGTGGATCCCCTTTCTTGCCCTCATCAAAACGGTCTTGTGCACAAGGAGTTCCCTTGCTGGTTATGGCACTGCTGAGCGAGGTGGAAAGCGGCATCAAAAAACAAGATCCCTGTTATTTTGCTGCTCGGAGGCCTGTAATTCCATTTTGTTTGACAACAGGGGGAGGTCTTTCCTGCCCCCAAATAAAAGGCAAAAAGAAAACCCTGAAAGTCTCCTTACCCCTCTCTAGGTAAGAAAAGGGAGAGGCTTTTCTGTCATGTCCTGCTCTTGAAGGGAGAGGCTTTTCTGTCATGTCCCGGGTCTGCTCTTAAGGGGAATGAGGGAGAATCCTGTATGGCTAATCAGGTTTCAAAAAGGAAGGGGGAAGATACTCCTGAAGAGACAGAGTATTAGATTCTGTTAAAATTCTGTGCCAAAAAACTCTTTATTCAGCATTCTTTCCCAATGTTGCCCCTCCTGATTTCCCAGGAAGGGAACCAGGTTATGCTACAGGTTCCATCATAAAAGCTCCTTTCTGCTATTAACCAGCTTCCATCCATCTGTGCCCCGAATCCTTATCCAAATTGCAGGTTATTGGTGAAAGTGTCTTCAGAATTGCAGAAACTCCCCTTTTTCCCTGCACTCAGTACATGCCAGGTGAGAGCAGTCGATCTTCTCATCTCTAGTCTTTGCTTCTTAGCCTCACTTCTGTTGGTCTCCGCTGTCACGGTCCTCCTTGGCCGAACGAGCCAGGGTACAGCCCCTTCCCCTGCCATCTCTGCCCACACCGGAGGGGTGTGGGGAGGAGGCCTGGAGGTTGGCTGTCTGCTGCTGTACCCCCCTTCTCAACCCTGTATGCAGAGGGTTGGGGCTGAGGAGAGCAATGCCCAGCGTGTGCAGCGAAGAGGCAGCCGGGGCTGTAACCTTTGTCTTCCGAGGGAGGAACTCCTCGGCGTAACAGCGAGGAGAGAGGAAAGCCCTGTTCTCACTGCTCAGTGCCACAACCTCTGTGCCACGAACGTGCTTAGTGCTGCTCAGAGGCGGCGTTTTGTCCTCTGCTAGTCACCTAGGTGAACCCCTTTCACTAGATCATGGAAGAATTGTAGAAAGCATGAGCCCTGCCAGCTCGCTAACACATGGATTCCTTGCACTCTTGTCTCCCTTGAGAAAGCTGCTCAGCTCTTGGAGGGATTTGGCTGAACACCTCCAGCAGGAGCTGTTTATCAGGGTAAGGACACTAACCTGGGGAGTTCAGCCTAACAGGTGTGTTTTAGGGGAGAAAACGAGGCTGAAAGAACTGATGGCAAACAGAAGAGCACTGTTGGATGCTAAACCAGCATTCCCTCACCCTAAGAGGAAAACAGCCGGTGTAATAGCAAGGTGTGCTGCTGCCGCAGGCAAGGAGTTGGCACGGGGGGGTAGACGGGAGGGGGAGCCATCGCTGAAGTTCAGGCCACACAGAGCTTTCCTTTCCAATAGGTTTTGCAAGATTTCTCACCTCAGGTGTTACTGTGTCTGTCTCTTCAGGGCAGAGCAAACCGGTCCTTTTGGATACGTGGCGCAGGATGCTCTTGCCGAGCTTCACTGCAGGTCCTAGAACGGTTTCAGACCCCATCAAGGCATCCATTCTCGGTTATTTTAACTGCTGTTGATGTCTGTAGTATTTATAAGTGGAATGAGAGAAACAATTCCTGTCAGTAGCCCATAAGTTGGCTTTTTCAACTGCTTTGTGTCTCTAAGGAGCTGGGTGATGGAGTAGTCTGAAATACCGACCAGTTTCCTTGGTGAAAATCAATCCCCTTTCAGAGACCCCCGAGAAGGAACCGAATCTGTCCCTTGCAGCAGGAAGATGTGGGTACTGAAGGGGCACGCTTAGGTGGAGGGCACGGGGTTTCTGGACTTGTGGGAGTCCTGATGCAGGTGGTTCTGGTTTCCTACACGCTGGTGCCCTCCCCTGTGGCTGAGAAGCTCTCCCAAGCGGGGTGTCAGCTATCAATTGGCTCGGCAAAGTGTTCTGGAACTCATTCTGAAAATATTTTTTTTGCTTTCTATGTGGAAAAAGAAATAAGTATAAATTCTCATTTTATGCTGTATTTTGTACCTTAGTTGTGTTTGAAAATGTTTTGATTTTTTTTTTGGAAACAATCAAAATAAAACAATGGCATCTTTGTATCCACCTGGCGTGTGTGAGTGGTGACGCTCCAGATGGGAGACGGGGCTGGAGAATTCCCTTTCCACAAAGGGGTCTGAGCCCTGGGTGGGGCTGATGAGGTTACACACACACACCTGGTAACTGGAAGGGGCAGCCAGCCCTGGGCACCCCCGAGACCGTTAAACAGGCTTCAGGCCATGGATTTATCACAACTTTTATTTGCTGTTGGTTGCCTTCTTGGGGTTCTTGTGTTTGTGGTGATGACTCTTGAATTTCTTCTGTAAAGGGCC